TGTCTCTGTCTCACTGTGTCTCTGTGTCTACCTGTGTCTGTCTACCTGTGTCTCTGTGTCTACCTGAGCGCGTGAGACAACGTCACGCAGTGTCTCTGTCTACCTGTCTCTGTGTGTCTCTCTCTGTCTACCTGTGTCTCTCTGTCTACCTGTGTCTCTGTGTCTACCTGTGTGTCTACCTGTGTCTCTGTCTACCTGTCTCTGTGTCTGTGTCTACCTGTGTCTCTGTCTCTCTGTGTGTCTACCTGTCTCTGTGTCTCTGTCTCTGTCTACCTGTGTCACTGTGTCTACCTGTGTGTCTACCTGTGTCTTTGTGTCTACCTGTGTCACTGTGTCTACCTGTGTCTGTGTCTCTGTGTCTACCTGAGCGCGTGAGACAACGTCACGCAGGGTGACTGTGTCTACCTGTGTCTCTGTGTGTCTCACTGTCTCACTGTCTGTGTCTCTGTCTCACTGTGTCTACCTGTGTCTACCTGTGTCTCTCTGTCTCACTGTGTCTACCTGTGTCTACCTGTGTCTACCTGTGTCTCTCTGTCTCACTGTGTCTACCTGTGTCTCTCTGTCTCACTGTGTCTACCTGTGTCTCACTGTGTGTCTACCTGTGTCTACCTGTGTCTCTCTGTCTCACTGTGTGTCTACCTGTGTCTACCTGTGTCTCTGTGTCTCTGTCTACCTGTGTCTGTCTACCTGTGTCTCTGTGTCTGTGTCTCTGTCTCACTGTCTGTGTCTCTGTCTCACTGTCTGTGTCTGTCTACCTGAGCGCGTGAGACAACGTCACGCAGTGTCACTGTGTCTACCTGTGTCTCACTGTGTCTACCTGTGTCTCACTGTGTCTACCTGTGTCTCACTGTTTGTCTACCTCTGTCTCTGTGTCTACCTGTGTCTACCTGTGTCTCACTGTGTGTGTCTCACTGTGTCTACCTGTGTCTCACTGTGTGTCTACCTGTGTCTCTCTGTGTCTCTCTGTCTCTCTGTCTCTGTGCCTACTGTGTCTCTCTGTCTCTGTGTCTACCTGTGTCTGTCTACCTGTGTCTCTGTCTCTCTGTGTCTGTGTCTACCTGAGCGCGTGAGACAACGTCACGCAGGGTGACTGTGTCTCTGTGTGTCTCACTGTCTCACTGTCTGTGTCTCTGTCTCACTGTGTGTCTACCTGTGTCTACCGTGTCTACTGTGTCTACCTGTGTCTCACTGTGTCTACCTGGTCTGTCTACCTGAGCACGTGAGACAACGTCACGCAGGGTGACTGTGTCTACCTGTGTCTCTGTGTGTCTACCTGTGTCTCTGTGTCTCTGTGTCTCTCTGTCTGTGTCTCTGTGTCTACCTGTCTCTGTCTCTGTGTGTCTGTCTACCTGTGTCTGTGTCTACCTGAGCGCGTGAGACAACGTCACGCAGTGTGACTGTGTCTACCTGTGTCTCTGTGTCTCTCTGTCTCTGTGTCTACCTGTGTCTGTCTACCTGTCTCTGTGTCTGTCACTGTGTCTACCTGTGTGTGTCTACCTGAGTGCGTGAGAACGTCACGCAGTGTGACTGTGTCTACCTGTGTCTCTCTGTCTCTGTGTCTACCTGTGTCTGTCTACCTGTCTCTGTGTCTGTCACTGTGTCTACCTGTGTCTCTGTCTACCTGTGTCTGTGTCTCTGTGTGTCTCTGTGTCTACCTGAGCGCGTGAGACAACGTCACGCAGTGCTCTGTGTCTACCTGTGTCTGTCTACCTGTGTCTGTCTACCTGTGTGTGTCTACCTGAGCACGTGAGACAACGTCACGCAGTGTCTCTGTGTCTACCTGTGTCTACCTGTGTCTCACTGTGTCTACCTGTCTCTGTGTCTACCTGTGTCTCTCTGTGTGTACCTGTGTCTACCTGTGTCTCTGTGTGTCTCTGTGTCTCTGTGTGTCTCACTGTGTCTCTGTGTGTGTCTACCTGTGTCTACCTGTGTCTACCTGTGTGTCTACCTGTGTCTGTCTACCTGTGTCTCTCTGTCTCACTGTGTCTACCTGTGTCTACCTGTCTCTGTGTCTACCTGTGTCTACCTGTGTCTACCTGTGTCTGTGTCTACCTGTGTCTCTCTCTGTGTGTCTCTGTGTCTACCTGAGCGCGTGAGACAACGTCACGCAGGGTGACTGTGTCTCTGTGTGTCTCACTGTCTCACTGTCTGTGTCTCTGTCTCACTGTGTGTCTACCTGTGTCTACCTGTGTCTACCTGTGTCTCACTGTGTCTACCTGTGTCTGACCTGAGCACGTGAGACAACGTCACGCAGGGTGACTGTGTCTACCTGTGTCTCTGTGTGTCTACCTGTGTCTCTGTGTCTCTGTGTCTCTCTGTCTCTGTGTCTGTGTGTCTACCTGTCTCTGTCTCTGTGTGTCTGTCTACCTGTGTCTGTGTCTACCTGAGCGCGTGAGACAACGTCACGCAGTGTGACTGTGTCTACCTGTGTCTCTGTGTCTCTCTGTCTCTGTGTCTACCTGTGTCTGTCTACCTGTCTCTGTGTCTGTCACTGTGTCTACCTGTGTGTGTCTACCTGAGTGCGTGAGACAACGTCACGCAGTGTGACTGTGTCTACCTGTGTCTCTCTGTCTCTGTGTCTACCTGTGTCTGTCTACCTGTCTCTGTGTCTGTCACTGTGTCTACCTGTGTCTCTGTCTACCTGTGTCTGTGTCTCTCTGTGTGTCTCTGTGTCTACCTGAGCGCGTGAGACAACGTCACGCAGTGTCTCTGTGTCTACCTGTGTCTGTCTACCTGTGTCTGTCTACCTGTGTGTGTCTACCTGAGCACGTGAGACAACGTCACGCAGTGTCTCTGTGTCTACCTGTGTTCCTGTGTCTCACTGTGTCTACCTGTCTCTGTGTCTACCTGTGTCTCTCTGTGTGTACCTGTCTACTGTGTCTCTGTGTGTCTCTGTGTCTCTGTGTGTCTCACTGTGTCTCTGTGTGTGTCTACCTGTGTCTACCTGTGTCTACCTGTGTGTCTACCTGTGTCTGTCTACCTGTGTCTCTCTGTCTCACTGTGTCTACCTGTGTCTACCTGTCTCTGTGTCTACCTGTGTCTACCTGTGTCTACCTGTGTCTGTGTCTACCTGTGTCTCTCTCTGTGTGTCTCTGTGTCTACCTGAGCGCGTGAGACAACGTCACGCAGTGTCACTGTGTCTACCTGTGTCTACCTGTGTCTCTCTGTCTCTGTGTCTCTCTGTCTCTGTGTCTACCTGTGTCTCTCTGTGTGTCTACCTGTGTCTCTGTGTGTGTCTATCTGTGTCTGTCTACCTGAGCGCGTGAGACAACGTCACGCAGTGTCACTGTGTCTACCTGTGTCTACCTGTGTGTGTCTACCTGTGTCTACCTGTCTCTGTGTCTACCTGTGTCTCTCTGTGTCTACCTGGTCTACCTGAGTGCGTGAGACAACGTCACACAGTGTGACTGTGTCTACCTGTGTCTCACTGTGTGTCTCTGTGTCTCTCTGTGTCTCTGTGTTTCTGTCTCACTGTGTGTCTCTGTGTCCCACTGTGTCTCTGTGTGTCTCTGTGTCTCTGTGTGTCTCACTGTGTCTCTGTGTGTGTCTACCTGTGTCTACCTGTGTCTACCTGTGTGTCTACCTGTGTCTGTCTACCTGTGTCTCTCTGTCTCACTGTGTCTACCTGTGTCTACTGTGTCTACCTGTCTCTGTGTCTACCTGTGTCTACCTGTGTCTACCTGTCTCTGTGTTACCTGTGTCTCTCTGTGTGTCTATCTGTGTCTACCTGAGCGCGTGAGACAACGTCACGCAGTGTCTCTGTGTCTACCTGTGTCTACCTGTGTCTCTCTGTCTCTGTGTGTCTCTGTCTCTGTGTCTACCTGTGTCTCTCTGTGTGTCTACCTGTGTCTCTGTGTTGTCTATCTGTGTCTGTCTACCTGAGAGCGTGAGACAACGTCACGCAGTGTCACTGTGTCTACCTGTGTTCTACCTGTGTGTCTCTCTGTCTCTGTGTCTCTCTGTCTCTGTGCCTATCTGTGTCTCTCTGTGTGTCTACCTGTGTCTCTGTGGTGTCTATCTGTGTCTGTATACCTGAGCGCGTGAGACAAAATCACGCAGTGTCACTGTGTCTACCTGTGTCTACCTGTGTGTCTCTCTGTCTCTGTGTCTCTCTGTCTCTGTGCCTACCTGTGTCTCTCTGTCTCTGTGTCTACCTGTGTCTGTCTACCTGTGTCTCTGTGTCTACCTGAGCGCGTGTGAGACAACGTCACGCAGTGTGGACTGTGTCTACCTGTGTCTACCTGTGTGTCTCTCTGTCTCTGTGTCTCTCTGTCTCTGTGCCTACCTGTGTCTCTCTGTCTCTGTGTCTACCTGTGTCTGTCTACCTGTGTCTCTGTGTCTACCTGAGTGCGTGAGACAACGTCACGCAGTGTCTCTGTGTCTCTGTCTACCTGTGTCTGTGTCTACCTGTGTCTCACTGTGTGTCTCTGTGTCTCTCTGTGTCTCTGTGTGTCTCTGTGTCTCTGTGTGTCTACCTGTGTCTCTCTGTCTCACTGTGTCTCACTGTGTCTACCTGTGTCTACCTGTCTCTGTGTCTACCTGTGTGTCTACCTGTGTCTACCTGTGTCTGTGTCTCTCTTTGTGTCTATCTGTGTCTACCTGAGTGCGTGAGACAACGTCACGCAGTGTCTCTGTGTCTACCTGTGTCTCTGTGTCTACCTGTCTCTGTGTCTACCTGTGTCTGTCTACCTGTGTCTCTCTGTCTCTGTGTCTACCTGTGTCTGTCTACCTGTCTCTGTGTCTACCTGTGTCTACCTGTCTCTGTGTCTCTGTGCCTACCTGTGTCTGTCTACCTGTGTCTCTGTCTACCTGTGTCTGTGTCTCACTGTGTCTATCTGTGCTACCTGTGTCTGTCTCACTGTGTCTAGCTGTGTCTGTCTACCTGTCTCTGTGTCTACCTGTGTCTACCTGTCTCTGTGTCTCTGTGCCTACCTGTGTGTCTACCTGTCTCTGTGTCTACCTGTGTCTACCTGTGTCTACCTGTGTGTCTCTGTGTCTACCTGAGTGCGTGAGACAACGTCACGCAGTGGACTGTGTCTACCTGTCTACCTGTGCTCACTGTGTGCTACCTGTGTCTCTCGTGTCTCTGTGTCTCTGTCTCTGTGTCTACCTGTGTCTGTCTACCTGTGTGTCTATCTGTGTCTACCTGAGCGCGTGAGACAACGTCACGCAGTGTCACTGTGTCTACCTGTGTCTACCTGTGTGTCTCTCTGTCTCCTGTGTCTACCTGTGTCTACCTGTGTCTACCTGTTCTGTGTCTACCTGTCTCTGTGTTACCTGTGTCTACCGTGTCTGTCTTACTGTCTGTTACCTGTGTCTCTGTGTCTACCTGA